TGAGATATATGCAATCGAAAGAGAGATAGTTTCCTTGTTTTGCTACAAGGAGAGATACAGACAATCACGAGAGAGATTCTTTCCCTTTTTCTGGAGGGCTAACAAGGGAATTATGTGGAATTGGAAGAAATACACCTTACATTCTGGAATTTCATCAAAAAACAAATACACCTTATATAAAGGAACGAAGGGAGTAATATATTCTAACTTTATGATAATAGCACCTATTTTCATATTTTAGCTCTCCGATCTCATACAAAGTTATCCACTTCATACCCACAACGTAGTTTTATTTCTCGCTTCTAGTTGGAAGCAAACGTTCAGTGTACGTAGAGTCATATCAGTGGCAGATAGGGCTTGAGAGAATATTGATCTTACCTTTAGCTCCTTGTGGGTTCAACGCTCCATACTTATCACTTCCACCTTTGGAAATTTCTACGATGATTCCCTGCACTTGGGGATTATGGGGTTTATATCATATTGCTTGAGTTTATCCCTCTACATCATGTCATCTTGCCTAATGCGTTACTCTGTTCTTATGAACTTAATACTCTAGATGCATGCTGGATAGCGGTCAATGTGTGGAGTAATATTAGTAGATGCAGAATCATTTCGGTCTACTTAACAGGGATGTGATGCCTATGTTCATGATCATGCCTAGATATCATCATAACTATGCGCTTTTCTATCAATTGGTCGACAGTAATTTGTTCACCCATCGTAATATATGCTATCTTGAGAGAAGCCACCAGTGAAACCTATGGGCCCCGGGTCTACTTTACATCTTATAAGTTTCCGACTATAATTCTAGTTTACTATTTATTTTGCAATCTTTACTTTTCAATCTATGCAACAAAAATACCAAAAATATTTATCTTATTATCTCTATCAGATCTCACTTTCGTAAGTGACCGTGCAGGGATTGACAACCCCTTTATCATGTTGGTTGCGAGGTTCTTGTTTGTTTGTGCAGGTACTAGGTGACTTGCATGTAGCCTCCTACTGGATTGATAGCTTGGTTCTCACAAACTGAGGGAAATACTTATGCTACTTTGCTGCATCACCCTTTCCTCTTCAAGGGAAAACCAACGCATGCTCAAGAGGTAGCAGATCACCAGGCGGATGAGGATATCCTTAACAGAAAACCCAAAAGAGACAAATTCCACAGAAACAGGGTTGTCGCGGGTGAGGCGATGAACAGAGAGGAGATTAGTAATGATCGAAGGAGAAAGCAAAACATTGTGAAGCTCTAAGGACGAGTTGTTGGCGATAAGCGTGCCGCGCCTGGTGTGAGTGATCAGCAGGTGGCCGCCATTGCCGACGATAATGTCACGAGGAGAAAAGGAAGGCCGAAGGGAATGGAGAGTACCAGGGTTGGAGGTCATGTGCGAGTACGCCCTGGAGTCCATGTACTAGTCCGAGGTGCTGGAAGGTGGCGACTGCGAGGTGTGCGCGCCTGGAGTGCCGTCTGTAGACCACCCATGTCCCATGGTTGGGATGGCGGGGCGCCGCACTAGAACTGGCGCCCGGCGAGCCATAGGTGAAGTCGGGGAGGATGGAAGGATAAGTGTCGTACCCGTAGGGCGACGGCGGCAGGGGCGCTGTGCTGGAGTTGGCGCCGGGCGAGTCATATGTGAAGAACACCTGCTGTTGTGGGACGCCAGATCATGGACCAAGGATGCCGGTGGTACGTCTCCAACGTATCTATAATTTTTTATTGTTCCATGCTGTTATATTATCAATCTTGGATGTTTTATAATCATTTTATAGCCATTTTATATCATCTTTTGGTACTAACCTAGTGACATAGTGCCAAGTGTCAGTTGCTATTTTGTGCATGTTTTTTACATCATAGATAATCAATACCAAATGGAGTCCAAACGCAGCGAAACTTTTTATGGATTTTTGGACCAGAATACAACCAATGGACCGAAGAAGCACCTGGGGGCTGCTCCGAGGGGAGCACAACCCACCAGGGTGTGCCTGGAGGCCCAGGCGCGCCCTGGTGGGTTTTGCCCACCTCGGGTGCCCCCCGGATCGCCTCTTTACTCTATAAATACCCCAATATTCCATAAACCTTAGGGGAGTCGACGAAAATCATTTCCAGCCGCCGCAGAGTCCAGGACCACGAGATCCAATCTAGACACCATCATGGAGGGGTTCACCACTTCCATTGGTGCCACCCCGATGATGCGTGAGTAGTTCTTTGTAGACCTTCGAATCCGTAGTTAGTAGCTAGATGGCTTCCTCTCTCTCGTTTGATTCTCAATAGAATGATCTCTTGGAGATCCATATGATGTAACTCTTTTGCGGTGTGTTTGTTGGGATCTGATGAACTTTGAGTTTATGATCAGATCTATCTCTTTTTATCCATGAAAATTATTTGAGTTTCTTTGATCTCTTATATGCATGATTGCTTATAGCCTCGTATTTCTTCTCCGATATTTGGGTTTTGTTTGGCCAACTTGATTTATTTATCTTGCAATGGGAAGAAGTGCTTTGTAGTGGGTTCGATCTTACGTGCTTGATCCCAGTGACAGAAGAGGAACCGACATGTATGTATCATTGCTACTAAGGATAAAACGATGGGGTCTATTTCTACATAAATAGATCTTGTCTACATCATGTCATCGTTTTTATTGCATTACTCCGTTTCTCCATGAACTTAATACACTAGATGCATGCTGGATAGCGGTCGATGTGTGGAGTGATAGTAATAGATGTAGGCAGGAGACGGTCTACTAATCTTGAACGTGATGCATATATAATGATCATTGCCTGGATATCATCATGATTATTTGAAGTTCTATCAATTGCCCAACAATAATTCGTTTACCCATCATTTGCTATTTTTCTCGAGAGAAGCCACTAGTGAAACCTACGGCCCCCGGATCTCTTTCTCATATTATTTGCCTTTGCGATCTATTTTATTTGCCTTTTATTTTCAGATCTATTAAACCAAAAATACCTTGATGCAATTTATTCTTATTTATTTTATTTGGCGTTCGATCTATCAATCTACTACAATTTATTCACGCCTGTTTGCCAATTTTTGGCGCCGTTACCCGAAAGAGATTGACAACCCATTTAATACGACGGGTTGCGAGTATTTGTTATTTGTGTGCATGGGCCGTTTACATGTTGTTGCTTGGTTCTCCCACTGGTTTGATAACCTTGGTTTCATCACTAAGGGAAATACCTAACATCGCTATGCTGCATCATCCCTTTCTCTTTGGGGAAATACCGGCGTAGCTTCAAGCCGCATCAGCCGACGCCGGGTGCGCGCCACGACATGGGCCAGGCTTGCACCATGCCGATCCAGGAGTTGGTGCCTGGAGCCTGGCTTGGTAGGGTAGCCGAACGCGGAGGAGGCAGTGCTGGAGACTAAGATGAAGACGATGTGCCCCCCTCGTTGCCGCTTCCGCGGCGACGGTTGGGACCACGCCCACGCCCCGTTTTCCTGTCGGAGGGAGCAGGTGGAGCTGCAGGGGCGGCCGGTGGACGCGCGGCGATGAGCGCGTGACCAGACTACAGGCGAGTAGCCTGCTCCGCATGGTGCTCTTCCAGCAGGAGGAAGGAGCGTGCCTGTAGAAGGGTGGGCAGTGGATTACGCACGGTGAGATGCGGGATTGCACCATGATACTGACGCTTGAGGCCGCGTAGCATGTGGAACAACTGCCGCACGTCGCCGACCGGCTGCCCGAGGTCGCGAAGCTGGTCGGTGAAGGACTCCACGCCCGTGAAGTACTGCATCACCGTCAGGTCACCCTGGACCACGGCGTGGTACTCCGCGTCGATGTACACGACGCGGGAGAGCTGATTGTCGCAGGGGATCTCCTCGATGGCGGCCCAGAGGACGCCAGTAGTGTCGTCTGATCGTGGCATAAATCCAATGCACGACGTAGTGGTCGACCATGACCCATTCGGGGAGCGACGTGACAGCCGGGGCGACGAGGTGGTCGTGGACACCGAACATGCCCACGATGGTGAAGAAGAAGTGACGGCACCGCGCGTAGTTGCCGGCGTGCAGGTCCAGGGTGATGGAGACGTGGTGACGGATGTCGATCATCTACAGGACGGACGAGGGGAACACGTCAGGAGCGGGCGATGGCGCTGGGGTGGCCGGGGGCGCAGGAGGGGCGCTCACCGAGGCAGCATGGAGGACGCCGCCCGGTGCTGGTGCATCATCATCAGAGGAGTGGGGGAGGGGGGAGGCTAGAGGATTAGTGTCCATGGCAGCGGAAGAAGGGTGGGTGGGCTCGAAAGAATTGATTTCCTCTGTACCATATAAAAGTGTGCTCTAGCCAATGCAATTAAAAAATCAATACGATAAAAAAGACTAGACAACACATTTATACATTAACATTATATATCATATCCTAAAAAAACACTATATATCATATGTATTTTTTAGTTCATATATTATTAACTTGAATATTCATATTGGATACAATCAAATCTACTCCTATATTGCAACTGATTCCGCATTCGTGTATCGTCTAATGAATTACTTACATTAATGTCAAAAACGCTCTTATATTATACTTTCTCCGTTAAGAATTACTCGTCGCAGAAATGAATGTATCTAGATGTATTTTAATTTTAGATATATTCATTTCTGTGACGAGTAATTTGGAACGGAGGCATAAAACGGAGGGGTAAGCCTTTAAGTCTTTTCGTAGCCGAAAAGATTACGACAGATTGTTCATACCCCGACTCGTATTCAGAGTTCCGTGGCGTATCGGCACACCTTCCTTTTCCTCTCCGTGCCCCCAATCCCACCCAGTGCGGCGCCGGCCCTGAAGCATCTCCCTGCCCTAGCCACAGCTGCCGCCGCGCCGTCGTAGCTTAGCTCCACTGCCGACGAAGCCTCCGCCCCCGAGCAGCGCGCCCCCGCCTCTCCCGCGCGTCGCCGCCGCCGCCGCTTCCCGTCCCGCCTCGCCGCGTCCCTGCTGCCCCAACTCCGTCCCCGATTTCGAGCATTGGTTGATTCCTGAGGTATGACCATCCCGTCCTCCACCGGTTAGTTGTTAAACCCCGCCGAACTCCAGAAATTTCCCCATCTGGATCCGCCCACGGCGGCCGTGTAGCTGTCGGCTGGTATCTTCCTTGGGCTTGATTGGATCCGTGTGTTTCAGGAGAGATGGGGAAGAAGGTGAAGGCCAAGGCGAAGAAGGCGCAGCAGCGGGAGCCGCTGGCCGATGCTGGATCCGGCGACGAGGCCTCGCAGGACGTCGAGGAAGCGGCTGTCTCGGCCGGCGATTGGGAGCAGTGCGGCCACTACAGCCGTGACAGTCGCCACTTGGACAAGGTCCTACGGGAGATCGTGTCTGCCAAGCATCTCGCGTCGTGTGAGCACTGCCGGGAGGAGGCCCCCCGGAAGAAAGGCGGCGGGGGTGGCAAGGAGAAAGGCGGTAAGCAGCAGAAGAAGAAAGGCGCTGCTGCCAAGACGCAGGCCAAGGCGGAGAAGAATGATGATTTGTGGGTCTGCTTGGACTGCGGCCGGCACTTCTGCGGCGGCGCCGTGTCAGATACCAAGCCATACGGCCATGCCAGAAGGCATGCCAAGCAGGACCGGCACTGGTGGGCTGCACGCTATGATAAACAAACCATCGCTTATTGCTTGTCATGCGAAAATGAGGTGTCCATCGAGCTGCCTGTAGTGGAGACAGTTGTAGCAGCGCCAGCCGTTGAGAAGGTGGTTCTTGGTGCGGTGGAGAGCAATGCATTGGTTTTGGCTAATAGCCATGGTAATGTGATTAAAGGGCTGCCGAATCTTGGAAATACATGTTTCTTCAATGCAGTGCTGCAGAGCCTCCTAGCGCTTGATAAGTTTCGCAGCAAGATGCTAGGACCAGATGTTCCAATAGGAGCCATTGCTATGTCACTGAAGAAGTTGTTTGTGGAAACGAGTGCTTCAAATGATGCAGGAGGTGCACTGAGCCCAAAGAGCCTCTTCTCAAGTATTTGCTCGAAATACCCTCAGTTCAAAGGCTACCAGATGCAGGACAGTCATGAATTGCTCCGCTGTTTTCTTGATGGTTTAGGCACGGAGGAAACTGAAGCGCGGAAGGCAGCGGAGGATGCTTCCAGTGCTGCTGGGGTTCCTACAATTGTTGACTCCATCTTTGGGGGTCAGCTGTCTAGTACTGTCTCCAGCACAGAATGCACACACGGATCTGTTAAGCACGACCAATTCCTTGATCTCTCGCTACCAGTTCCATCAAGGAAACCTCCAGCCAAGAGTGTTTCATCACCACCAGCAAAGAGGACCAAGCAGTCTATACGAGATAGGAACAAAAATCGCAGATATGGAAAGGTTCCTACCCGAGTGTCTCCTGCAATAGCGGAGAGCAGCAAAGAACAAGTACAAACAATTGCTGAAGGCAATGATTCCCAGATTCCAGGTTCAGAGTTAGGACAGGTTGTCAGTGAGAAAGAACATGAGCCCTCTGAATGCAGTGAGTCATGTGCTTCTGTTCCCAACCAAGAGCTGAAGGCCACTTCTAATGTGGAGGATGACATTTCCTGGTTAGATTATCTTGCTGATGCAGATGAAACGAAGTCTGAGATTCTTGATTCTGCATGTTCGACTGGAGCAGGACAGATCTGGAACAGCAACGATGCCATACATGGTTCATTTCACAGTGGAGATGATGCCTTGCCCAAAGAGCAGGCCTTGATTTCTGATCCCTCAGGTGAGAACATTGTTGATGATGCAACTTGTTTACAGACTGTGATCTTGCTTCCTTACAAAGAATTTGACACCACTGCTGAAGAAATATATGAAACTGCAGAAAGCTCACAGAATCCAATAGTTTTTGGTCCTCATCCAGCTGATTATCTAGCAGCAGAAAATCACACACAGCCGTTATATGGCGGAGATGGGGAACAAGATGACTGTTTTGGTATCGGTGATATGTTTGGTGAGCCTGAAATAACTTCTGATGCTAAGAAAGAAACTGGCACAACTGGAGATATTGATGTGATGGCTTGGAGTAGCAATAGTGCTGATGATGAAGTGGATGATAGTAATGCTCCCGTATCAGTTGAGGGCTGCTTGTCATTGTATACTGAGCCAGAGCTGCTAACGGAATCTTGGCATTGTGAGCATTGTTCTATCGCTGTTGCACAGCCAAACACCAATGAATTAGAAGAGGGTGAGGAGACGGCAGCTAGTGCCAATGATAGAAAGGACAGTGCGGAGATGATGGCAAGTGGTGATGAAAAACATGTTGATGATAAGGTCCCGAGCTGCAGCAAAAAAGAGGACATTGATCAGATTATGGCAACTGATGGTTGCTCTGTCAATGTAAATCCTGACATGTGCTGTAACGAAGGGGTGTGTGCAAATCCTTCTTTGGTTGATGCTGAAAACACCTCTGATGGTAATTCTCCAGACGTTGACACTACTGAGCAGCCAGACAGTAAAACATACCACCAGGAGTGTAGGGATTTGAACAGCTCAGCAGTGGAATTTACATCTTCCAGTAAGCAACCGCATGACTTTGCGCAGCATAACGATGGTCATAATGTGGATGTAGCCGCTGAAGAAACGAGTGCACCAGTGAGTTGTGGCGACAATGACTCGGCCTCTTGCAGTACTACTAGCGACAAAAAGGTTGAATCTGGTGGTGCCAATGCTGAAGAAGTTGTGACTAGTAGCCTTCCACCTGAGACGCAAAGCATCTTACCGAGCGCCAAAGATAATGAAGATGGCTTCACAAGGAATATCGGAAGGAGGAAGAGAATGAAGGTGGTTGTCAAGGCACACAAAGGACAAGATAACCAAAATAAACAGAAAGAGGATGAAACAAAGGTTTTCAGAGCTGCAATGAGAAGAATTCTTATCAGCAAGGCACCGCCTGTATTGACGATTACTTTGAACAGATTCAGCCATGACTCTCATGGTCGGTTCAGGAAACTGAAAGGGCATGTGCGCTTTAAGGAGACACTCGATATACGACCGTACATGGACCCAAGGTACTGATTTTTCTAACTCAGTTGAATTTGCCAAAATAAAATCAACCCAACAGTTTTCTGCTTGCCTGCAGCTGTAGTTCCTAGTAGCCACAAGGGGGCACCACTGTCTGTCCATGGCTTGCTAAAGTAGCAATTGCATGTAGGATTTTGCCACAATGATATGACTAGATAAAATTTGACACTATTCCTTTCCCCACTTGTTTACTTTGGTGGATCTTTCTTTAATAATGATAGAACAGAATGCTCTTATTTTAATCATAGATATGTTTCTTGTCAACATAGAGAACTGAAAAGATAAATAATTAAATATTATATGATGACGATTCATTGGCTGTAAAACCCTAGAACATTCTCCGCAGATATTTTTTCTACACATTGTTTACGATCTTATTCTCTGATTCAAGTCTGCCATGTCCATATCCTGAAAGAAAGCAGAATGCATGAAATCTTTTCATAATCAATGTGAATCTGGAGGTTACATATATGATTTAGATTCGAAGGCATATACGGTAAGCTGTATTGACTGCTCACCAGTTTGTGTCTACACTAAGGGACTCAAACTGGGTTTTAGTATTGTCATTTTTCAGCATATATACAACAAATATTGTTCTAGTTGATCTAATTTGTTATTCTGTTTACACACTTGTACAAGTGTAGGTGCCTACATGTGTAGCTCTCAAGTTTAGTATGCTTATATGTGTTATCTCAAGTTTAGAACCCAAGTGACATGCCCGCATAAGTTTAGGGACCTATTGTGCACCATTCGTATCTGTGATTTATGGGCAGAGAGAGTCATTTACGGACTTTAAAATTGGATTGTATGCTTTGGAAATTAACTGTTTTCCTTAATACGCAGATCCAAGGATAATGACATCACCACTTATCGGCTGGTAGCTGTTGTCGAGCACATGGGAAGCATGACAGGGGGGCATTATGTTGCATATGTAAGATCTGGCAAGATAGGGGGTCGGCAGCAGCAGAGCCGCTCCTCCAAGTCTTGGTTTTACGCGAGCGATTCACACGTCAGAGAAACCTCTCTGGAGGAGGTTCTCAACTGCGAGGCTTACATCCTTTTCTACGAGAGGGTGTCCGAGTAAGACAATATGTATCTGGTGACCTACTCATGGATCAGTGAGTAGTTAGGGACAAGATGAATGTGGAGCAAGAGGTGACAAACAACATTTTTTGGGGATACTGCTATGACTCAGTCTCAGGTGGAGAGTTCTTTTTTGCAAGTGGGCTTGGACAGCCAATCTGTTCATGCTGCTTACAGTGAGTCATTCTTTGGGTTTTCCTTTTCTGGAGAACATAGGTGGAGGGGTGGAAATTGTCTGAAATCGGCAAACGGTTCGTTCAGATCTCTACAAGGTCATCGTTGAGCGTCCTCGGTTGTATTGGTTTAGAGTCAGTCAGTCGGTCATAGACAGCCCGGTACATGTTTTTGATATATGTGGAGTGCGCCCCTAAATTTTGCGTGATGGGGGCGTATATATACTATATATTGTAACATGTAGCTCCATCTTGAGGTAGAAATGACATGTTATTTCTTACCATGTAGTATTACATTGTACCATGCCACGAAAATCAAGCTTGTAAGTTCCAAGAAATTCTGGATTTATTTTGTGATTCTTCACAAGACATGTATGTCTAGAATCCCTAAAAACTCCAAATTTGAATTCGAAATATTCTTGGAAGAAACCAAAATGGTAAATCCAAATTTGTATTTGGAGTTTTTAGGGATTGTAGGCACGTCTTGTGAACATTCATGAAAAAAAATCCGTTTTTTTGAAACATTTAAATTAGAGTTTTTGAAACATGGTATTATGTAATGGCTGGTATCATGTTATATCTTCCCTGTTGCCTGGGATCATGGGGCTCACCAGCTTCAGCTTTACGCAGGGCACAGCGGCATGTTCCTGGGTGACGTTTTGCCCGCCGAGAAGCTGAGGACGACGCCAGTCCTGGAGCTGCGCAGAGCAATCTAGAGGTGAACAGGAATGGCGCGCCGGTGCTGCCGTCTCCAAGGTCGGCGACTGGCGCAACCAGATGACGCCCGCCGTGGCGGCGAGGCTCCCTGCGGGGCATGGGGTTTTTGTTTGCTGTAGCCGGCTCGCGGCCGGAAGGTGGTGTGCCGACCATCCTTCAGCTTTATCAACAACAATCAAAATATACTAATTTTACATCAACGTCTACGAGCAGCATCTGCATATATACAAATTTTGCATCCGAGTTCATCAACACTACATTCTCTTACCCCTGGCCAGTACGGTCGATCCATTTACTAGAGCTTACTGTTGCCGTTTGTTCATCCATTTAGCAGGGACCTCTACTTACTCTGAACCAGCGCACAAATTATCTGCCGTCGCCTCAAAGGAACCATTTCTCCCTTTACGCTGCTACATAAGAGCAATACATTGCTAACTGAAATCGATTTTGCTCCAAATGCCATAAGTAGCAAGTAATAAGTAGGGGAACCACAAGGCTTCTGGTAGGAGCTAGGGATCTGCCGGTTCTAGGGCAAAGATTGTAGGGGAGGCGGCGGCCGGCGGCTGGGCGCTGTCCTTGCGTGGTGGAGAAGAGGCGGCGGCGGCGCAAGAGGCGGCTAGGGTTAGGTCTTCCGGCTTCCTAAGGGAAGCCGAGCAAATACTGATTACTTTTTACTTGATTAGATTGATACATCTTCTCTCTTTATATAGAGAGGTTTACTTGACTTCTAAGCAAACGACCCTAATAACGATAAGATAACTGTGCTAAGTCCCCAATAACGATAAGATAACTTGGGCCACAGCCCATTGGGCTAAGCCCCTAATATGCCGGTCATAACACTTCTCCCCGCCTGCACAAACAGCTCGTCCTCGAGCTGTAAGGCGGGGAAGCGCTTGCTGAACTTCTCGAGGTGATCAACCAGCGTCAAACACCTCCGCGACAGCTAGGGCGACAAGGTCGCCGAGCCCGGCGGCGACGGTGTCCTTCGCAATGTAGTCTGCAGCCTCCAGGTAGAAGAGTCGGGGGCAGACGTGACCGGGCATGTAGGTCTCATCGCAGTTGAAGCACAACCCTTGGCGGCGACGCTCGAGTAGCTCGGCCGAGGTGAGCCGGCGGAACGGGTGCGCCGCGGTCGCGGCAAGGGGTGCCGCGGAAGACTGAGCAGGCCAACCCTGGGTGGGAACATCCGGCCAGGGTGGCGGCCCAGCGGCCCGGGATGGTGATGCCTGCTAGATGCTACCGCACGACGCGCGAACGCACGGGCGTAGTACATGGCCGTCTGGAGGTCCTGGGGTCCCTGCAGCTCGACGTCCACGCGAATATGATCTGGCAGACCTTCGACGAAGAGTTCAGCCCGCTGGTGAGCCATCACGCTGGACGTGTGGCATGCCAGGGCCTGAAAGCGGCCGGTGTAGTCCTGCACTGTAGAGGTGAAGGGAAGGCGGCCCAACTCCACCAGCCGGCTCCCACGTATCGGTAGTCCGAATCGAAGGAGGCAGAACTCGCGAAAATGCTCCCATGGGGGCATGCTGCCCTCGTCCTGCTCGAGAGCGTAGTACCACGTCCGTGCGGCGCCGCGGAGGTGATAAGAGGCGAGCCAGGTGCGGTCCGACGCGAGCGTCCATTGCCCACGGAAGAACTGCTCGCACTGGTTGAGCTAGTTGAGGGGGTCCTCGGCGCCGTCGTAGGTGGCGAAGGCGAGCTTGGCGAAGCGCGGCGGTGTCTGAGCATGACCGCCGTGAGTGTACGGCTCGGCGGTATGGAGCAGCGAAGAGTATGGCGTTGGTCCGGTGTGCACATGTGGTCCGTAGGAAAGTGGTGGCCCGTCGAAGCCAGCATGGAAACCCGCGGAGTCGGAGGGCCCGTCGTATGGCAGGGAGGGCGTCGGCTGGTCCGCGGCCATGATGTGGACTGGCGGCGGTGACGTCCCGGCCAACCAGACTGGAAGTTGGGACGGCGAGGGCGGGAACCACACTTGCTGAATCGGCACGCCCACCGGCGCGGTTGTAGTCAGCCCGGTGCTGGACGACGGAGGCGCCGACAGCGGCTGAAGGAAATATGCCCTAGAGGCAATAATAAAGTTATTATTTATTTCCTTATATCATGATAAATGTTTCTTATTCATCCTAGAATTGTATTAACCGGAAACTTAGTATATGTGTGAATACATAGACAAACAAAGTGTCACTAGTATGCCTCTACTTGACTAGCTCGTTAATCAAAGATGGTTATGTTTCCTAACCATGGACATGAGTTGTCATTTGATAAATGGGATCACATCATTAGGAGAATGATGTGATTGACTTGACCCATTCCGTTAGCTTAGCACTTGATCGTTTTAGTTTACTGCTATTGCTTTCTTCATGACTTATACATGTTCCTATGACTATGAGATTATGCAACTCCCGATTACCGAAGGAACACTTTGTGTGCTACCAAACGTCACAACGTAACTGGATGATTATAAAGGTGCTCTACAGGTGTCTTCGATGGTACTTGTTGAGTTGGCATAGATCGAGATTAGGATTTGTCACTCCGATTGTCGGAGAGGTATCTCTGGGCCCTCTCGGTAATGCACATCACTATAAGCCTTGCAAGCAATGCAACTAATGAGTTAGTTGCGGGATAGTGCATTACGGAACGAGTAAAGAGACTTGCCGGTAACGAGATTGAACTAGGTATCGAGATACTGACGATCGAATCTCGGGCAAGTAACATACCGATGACAAAGGGAACAACGTATGTTGTTATGCGGTTTGATCGATAAAGATCTTCGTAGAATATGTAGGAGCCAATATGAACATCCAGGTTCCGCTATTGGTATTGACCGGAGACGTATCTCGGTCATGTCTATATAGTTCTCGAACCCGTAGGGTCCACACGCTTAACGTTCGGTGACGATCGGTATTATGAGTTTATGTGATTTGATATACCGAAGGTAGTTCGGAGTCCCGGATGATATCGGGGACATGACGAGGAGTCTTGAAATGGTCGAGACGTAAAGATCGATATATTGGACGACTATATTCGGACATCGGAAAGGTTCCGAGTGATTCGGGTATTTTTTGGAGTACCGGGGAGTTACGGGAATACGGGAAAGAAGTATTGGGCCTCATGGGCCAAGTGGTGGAAGAGAGGAGCCAGGGCGCGTGGCTCCCCTAGCCCAAACCGAATTGGTCTAGGGGGCCAGGCCCCCTTTCCTCCTTTCCTCCCTTTCCTTCCTTCTCCCTCTCCTCCTTCCTTTCCTCCTCCTAGTAGGAGTAGGAAAGGGGAGTCCTACTCCTACTAGGAGGAGGACTCCTCCTCCTGGCGCGCCCTACAGGGACTGGCCGGCCTCCCCCCTTGCTCCTTTATATACGGGGGCAGGGGGCACCCTAGAACACACAAGTTGATTGTTCCAAGCTGTGTGCGGTGCCCCCCTCCACCATAATCCACCTCGATAATATCGTAGCGGTGCTTAGGCGAAGCCCTGCGTCGGTAGCAACATCATCACCATCATCACGCCGTCGTGCTGACGGAACTCTCCCACGAAGCTCTGCTGGATCGGAGTTCGTGGGACGTCATCGAGCTGAACGTGTGCTGAACTTGGAGGTGCCGTGCGTTCGATACTTGGATCGGTCAGATCGTGAAGACGTTCGACTACATCAACCGTGTTCTCATAACGCTTCCACTTAAGGTCTACGAGGGTACGTGGACGATACTCTTCCCTCTCGTTGCTATGCATCACCATGATCTTGCGTGTGCATAGGATTTTTTTAAATTACTACGTTCCCCAACAGTGGCATCGAGCCAGGTTTATGCGTAGATGTTATATGCACGAGTAGAACACAAGTGAGTTGTGGGCGATACAAGTCATACTGCTTACCAGCGTGTCATACGTTGATTCGGCGGTATTGTTGGATGAAGCGGCCCGGACCGACATTACGCGTACGCTTACGCGAGACTGGTTCTACCGACGTGCTTCTCACACAGGTGGCTGGCGGGTGTCAGTTTCTTCAACTTTAGTTGAACCGACTGTGACTACGCCCGGTCCTTGTTGAAGGTTAAAACAACACTAACTTGACGAAATATCGTTGTGGTTTAGATGTGTAGGTAAGAACGGTTCTTGCTC